AAAATTTCAAAAAAAAATATAATGTAAAGATATAATGAATAATTATATTAAAATTATATAATATCAACTATTTAAAGTATAACAATAACTCTAACAGTAATCCAGCAAACCCTTTAGAGGCATTTTAAAGACAAATAATAGTACTTTATATGTTAAACAACCTCCGAATTTATTTATTATAAAATACATAAATAAATAAATAAAACCTTCTAAATTTGAAAAATAAAAAGGGGAACTATATAAAATAGAAGGCATGGCCTCCATATTCAACGAGAGAATCCTAGGCCGGACTCAAGGAGTAGACCTCAAGTGCTCAGCAGTTAGCATAACTGCATAACATTAACTTGAGGAAAGGCCTGCAGAGGGACCGACAGTTGATCGTATGCAGCCAAAGAGAAATGGTTCATTTCTAAGTAAAAGCTATATTAAATTAATACCTTGAATTTTCCGTATATGATCAGATGATCAGATCCATGTACTTTTAGGTGCATAATAATAATAAAAAATCATGTAATTATAATATCATTTATTATTATAAATTTATAATTATAATATATTAATATATGATAACTTTTTTATTTAGAGTTTACTCAATATTATTTATATGTATTTATTCATTTAATAATATGTCATTATTATAAATTTTTAATCTTATATTATACCTTAATCATATCACTTACTTTTTTTTTAGTAGTCTACCGATGGTTAATTTGTCTTTTGTCTTTTGTTTTCATTGTAATTAAGAAAGGAATTCTCTAGTCTTTAATCCTCAATCATATATTATTTTCTGGGTCAATAACTTATAATGACTTAAAATTATAATTTATTCAGACCATTAAAACAAATCGGAACAATTGCAATCATTTTGCTAGAAAAAAAATTTATTGTACTTCAATTCTAACACACAATCATTTAGAGCCAAATTATAATCTTACCAAAATCAAACACCATCCATCCGCTGCAGCTCAACATGCCTTGTATCAAAGCACCCGACACTGTCACCTTGCGTCCAATTCAAGTGACCCCATGTAGTAAATGAGATTAATTTTCCCAAGAAACAAAAAATGCCAGCAAATCAAAAAGAATATCATGAGAAAATGCATGTCAAGATCATATAGTTCTATGGTAGACCATGTTTTTTTTGCGTACACATATATCTATTGTTATGTTATATCACAGATAATCCTCTCATTTTCTAAATCTCTTGCAATGTCTGAACCCTACACCCGAATTAGAGCAGTAAACACGTGATTGATGCATCAAAAGTTTTCAGATATCTTACAAAAAATTTTTTATAGCTTTATTAACGGCTGACCCCGTTAAAAGTGAAATAAAAAGCCTTCACCTACACTCTCAGAAAGGCACTTTTGTAAAATAAAATAAAGATATGTGGGTCTGTGTGCGTATATATGTTGCATTGGATCCATCGCCAATGTGTGATTTCAAAGCTTCCTCCTTTTTTCTCTTCAGAACCATCTTCCCAACTAAACTCCAAAGAACCTCAAAGAATCCAATAAACAAACAAAAAAATATCATGTTGATTTCATGATTAATATTCTTAGGCATTTCCAATTCGGCTTTCTCTGTTATTGTCCTCCCCTTGTTCCTCATTGGCTCATTCCTAGGATTCATCCAACACGTTCTTGTACTTTACTCATCTGTTTGATGTATTTGGATTTGAACAGATTTTCATTCATGGATATTCATAATTCCGAGGCGTTTCTCTCCGAGGAAGATCCAAACGCCATGGAATTCGATTTCTTGGTTCGACCCACTTTAGAATTTCAAGATGATCTAGAATGCAAGATTGCACCTTCACAGGATGGTGAAGAGCATAGCCGGAAGGAAGACAATGATCGGAAGTTTCCATCTTCGGAGTTGGGGATAAAGGTACCGTCTTTAGATGTCCAAAGCGAAGGTAGCGGAGATGAGTTGAAGACTCCAAAATCTTTGGATCACAGAATTCCGACGATGCTCAAGTGCCCACCTGCACCGAGAAAACCCAAATCGCTTCCGTCGGCAAAACGGAAGGAAGTGCTTCGCCGGGCAATCCTGCTTGATCTGACGAAAGAGATCGAATCTTTGTTTCCACCGGCTCTTCTGGCGGATCTGGGGAACAAGATCAAGAAAGTTAGACGTGGAAGTGACTTCAAGTGATGCATATCATGTAATGTAATTTTGTTTTTGTTTAGGTGTGGAATTAAAATTTCCCTTTTTTTCCTTGAATTCTTACATCTTAGTACGATAATTCTAGTAATTGTGTTTTACTTTTTACTTTAGCGTTTTGGATCTGAGCAACATTCTTTAGTCTTTATTTTTCCTGTTTCTGGGGAAGAATATATATCCAGATCCAAGGAAATGATATTCTGTTGAAGAAAATAGAATTTAAAGTACAAAATCATAATGGGTTTTGTGCATAGGATTCTTGCTTTTTTGTACTGCTATCAATAAAAGATGACATGCTTCATTAATTCAGAGAGAGATTTGGATTCTCTAAAGATGGAATGAGGGTAAGAATTCATGGAGTCATCTCTCTCTCTGTCTATCTAGGTGGATTCAGAGGAATATGGGTGGATTCCAGTATTTACTTAAAAAAAAAAAAAAATTCAATGGATCGACTTTCTCGAGGGAAGCAACCATACTCTACCCTGTTGTCAAGGACTAGAGTCTGTGAGGGAAGATTCCTAGGAATATGGGTGGATTCCAGTATTTACTTAAAAAAAAAAAAAATTCAATGGATCGACTTTCTCGAGGGAAGCAAACATACTCTCCCCTGTTGTCAAGGACTAGAGTCTGTGAGGGAAGATTCCTCTTAGACAAAATGCTATTTTGCTCCATGAATTATATAAAACTGTTTGATTTAACCTTAAGGTTTTGATCTCATTCAATGTCATTCTTATACAGATATCTTGTTGTTGTTTGTTTCATGACCTTAAAAAAGGAAAAAAATTCAAATAGCTGTAACTAGCTCTCCATACTTAACTTTTTATAATTCACATAGCTCTAACTAGGCTCAAAAGTTGGTAAAAAAAAATTCTCTTTTCCAAGTTTAAAGGCTTATATATAGTTGAATACATGCAAAATAAAAGAAGACCAAATTAAACATTTTGAAAAACCTGGAGGACAGCTAATGCAATTATTACCCTGTCATGGAACCAGGAAATTATGAGGACCGTGAGTGGGGAGTTGGGGGGGGTAGCCCTAACTTCAAGGAACGTCTTGTGCCCCCACCTGTCCTTGGATAAAGTTCACACAGTCTACCTCTGGCCTGTGGTAGATAAGCCAGCAAAAGGAACTTATCCAAATTAGATTCCAACTCTCAATTTTCTCAAACAAACTTTTCTGTTTTCCAATCCAATCAAAGGTAGCGGCAAACAACATTCTTGAATGTTAGGTAGTTAGATATGGTACTACTACAAGTTTCAAGGATTCTCCCCCTCCCCATTTTTGCTTAATCACACCTTATGCTTGTTTTGAATTATCAAATTATTAATTACATACAAAAATAAATTTTTTATAAAGAGATTAGTATTTATAAGTTAGACTTATAAAAAATTAAGTAAAAAAATATTTTAAAATTATGTTATTTTAATAAAGTATTATGAGAAAATACCAAATCAATATTATTCTCATCTTAAAAGATGTGTTATTTTAATTTTTTTAATAAAAATTTATAAAAATAATATGGATTTGAGGTATTTTTCTATTTAATTTTTTATAAATTTGATTGATAAATATTTTCTCATTTTACAAATTCATAAAGAAATAGCAATCAAATGGCATTGTCCATCATTATGCTTTTTTTTCTCTACATCAAATGATTAGTTGTTTAGTATTACAGAGATTTAAATTTTTTATATTAACTTCAAATAAAAAATTTTCAATTAATAAGTGCCAACTCCATCACATTTTTGTTGGTATCATTATCCTCGATTGTCACTTGTGAATGTATCAATCCTAACTTATAAGAAAAATATACAAACATTAATTAATTTTTTAAAAAGAAAATATAAAAACAAAAGTGAGAAAAATACAAAATTGGAAATCATGGAAATCAGGAAAAAGGAAGACGTGGCACTCCAATGAAGAAGGTTTGACATAGTGATAAGATAGAAGCGATAAGATAGAGGTTTTGAACTGAATTTTATGTTTTAGTCAAATTTCCATGGATCGGTTATATTTCATATTGAACTGAATCAACTTAGGTAAAGAGGTGGAGATTGCTTTCACAGCGCTTTTCCACACAAATTCTTTTAACCATGCACTATTAAAAACTTTAACTTTTATAATTGAATAATTTTAATTATGTTTGGTATATTTTACTAATTATACAAATATATTAATTGTGAAATATATTAACATAATTTTTACTGCAGCACAGAACATAAACGATTAGAACAACCATAGCACCATGAGTAGTAATCCCATAGAGATTCCAAGAAACAAAAGGCCCATACAAACTATGGTGTGTATTGTGTAAGAGTTCAGATGGGCTGTCAGCCCTTGAGTTCAGTCTCGAGACTCTGGCCCGAATGGATGGGTTTAATATTATGGGTTTTGATGTATGATTATTGTTATTATTATCAGGTCCAGCAAGCTTCTTGTTGTTGCGACGCCACTAAGCCCATGTTCGAGCCCGATCCCCCACTTTTCCAGTCTTCCTCCAGTTAACTACCACTATGTTGGGGTTGAGAAGAATGAAGGGAAAAGAAAGAAAAAGAAAGAGAATTGTATCCTTTAATTCTCTTCTATTCCTCTCTCATTTTTTCCATCATTTTTGATAAATAAAGAAAATTTTTTAAAAATAAAATAAAGGAATTCATTTTCCTCCCCTCTCTTCTAATTTTTTTTATAACTAAATTTAGGAATTTATTTTTCTCTCTCCCCCTTCCCTGCCCTTCCCCTCCAACCCAAACTTACTGTATGTGAAGTCCCAACTGCACCCTTTGAATTTAATACCCAAGATATGACCTCCTTTTGGGTTCCTCTTCATGGTCCATTTTATGTGGGCCCTAAAATTAAAATCTTGGGCTGAGTCAGCCCAAGACACACTCAAATGAAGTTTTTGACTTTCTTCTTGGTTTATTGCCTTCCACCCTGGCAAAAAATTGTTTCCTTGAACACTATTTTCTTCCACTTTCTTGGATACTCCTTTCCCCACTTCATCATGAAATATGTTTCCTCCTTTGACCATGTTTACC